TAACCCTAAACCTAAACCTAAACCTAACGCTAAACCTAACCCTAACCCTAAACCTAAACCTAACCCTAAAACAAACCCCTAAACCTAACCCCTAAACCTAATCCTAACCCTTAATTGAAGTTGGCTTTCTGCTGCGGCGCCGTTTTAAAGCGCCCTTCTGTTGCCGCACTGTTGTCGCGGCGGTGATGACGCGCGGTGATGATGTCGCGGCTTTAGCACCGCAATTTTATCGCCGCACTTTTGACCAGCGCGGTTTTGTCGTGCCACGAATACAGTGATGGCTAACCTTTTTGTCGTTGCATGCTGAAAGTTTGTTTGTTTGTTTGTTTATTTCTACGATTTATAGGCCGCCCAATCCCAGAGGACTCGGGATGTGCACGCATGCACCCATAATGCAATTAATGTGTGGCCCCCTCACGTGTGTGCAACCATGCGCACGCACGCATAACCACCCTGCAATCCCCCTGCATGTGCACATGACCCCCTGCATGCACCCTGCCCCCGTGCATGTGAGTGCAACTGTGCACGTGACCCCCCCTGTGCACCCACCCCCACTCATGAACGTGTTCCTACGGCACGCGCCCAACCCCCACATGCGTGGCAGAGACCCCCCAAAAGCATCTGGCCAGTGGAAGGAGCGCACACATGCGTGGTGGAGCTGAGCTGGGAGGATGGCACATGTGCTCACATAGAGGGTTCTGCTTGCCACCCGAGGCGCGCGTGCCATAAGTTCGCCGTCACAGTCCAAATATATGTGTATTTTTTTTTAGAGCGGATCATGTTTAACAAGTTTATTCAAAGCAATTAATACCTCATAATTTTCTCTTTTAACATCAGGATTGTGGGGAAGCAAATAATGGCGCCCAGTGATGAAGGCTATGGATGGTATATTAGTTCAGCGTGCAACACTTCAACTTCATCAGGCATGAGTCCCATGCAAGAGAAAGATCCTAGTGAGTAAGTGCCTGCGATCACTAACTCTTCACAAGGATTACAGTTATTGTTTTTGACCAACTAAGCCCTTGTCATCTGCAGCAGAAAGTGAACTTTTTAAAATTACAGCCTTATTTTCATTTTAAGAGGTGAATATTCAACCATTCAGTCCATTTATATCTCGAGACGTTTTCTATACAAACCAGAGTTGTTGTTGTTTTTTTTTTGTTAAGTAAACAGCTGTAGTATCAATAATGCATCTCTTCCGTGTACAAGCTATATTCCTAAGAAGCGTTGACATTATTGGTCTGGCTCTACAAAACCAGGAATGGTCTTTGTGCCTACTTTCTATATTAAATGGTAAAGGTTCCCCTTGCACATATATGCTAGTTGTTCCTGACTCTAGGGGGAGGCGCTCATCTCTGTTTCAAAGCTGAAGAGTCAGCGCTGTCCGAAGATGTCTCTGTGGTCATGTGGCCAGCATGACTGAACGCCAAAGGCGTACAGAACACTGTTACCTTCCCACCAAAGTGGTCCCTATTTTTCTACTTGCATTTTACATGCTTTCGAACTGCTAGGTTGGCAGAAGCTGGGAGAAGTAACGGGAGCTCGCTCCCTTATGTGGCACTAGGGATTCGAACCGCCGAACTGCCAACCTTTCTGATCGACAAACTCAGCATCTTAGCCACTGAGCCACCGTGTCCCTCACTTTCTATATTAGAAGTTTTGGAAATTGGAGATAATTTCACTAGAAGCTATATGGAAAAAAAAGTTCAGTTACTCTTTACAAGTTGCTGCTCAAAGGGAAAAAGCTACTGCTTAATTTTCCGTTTAGATCTGAGCTCTGGACAATAATAGTTCAAATATTGATAGAGTGGTAGTTGTTGCCGGTTCTACCACAAAACCGCGGACGACAAAATCGCAGTCGACGAAAGCGCGTATGTGACGTCATCACAG